TAATCCTCGAGCTCAGTAAGAGATTGCATCTAATAACCTTTTAAATGTTGGAAAATACTGAACATGTGAATGAATAAGGAGGAATATGTCAGGAAGAGAAAACACTGTTGAGTGTCCAGGAGAGTCAGCTGGCAAACTTCCATTATACAGACAGTGCCAAGGCTGCAGACACCCTGGTGAGGTACACAGAGATACCTCAAAGGGCTAGAGAGGTGGCTTGGTGGTCTAAGTGCCTACCTGGCAAGCATCCCTGGTACCAAATGCTCTACTGCTCCAGAACCCTGAGCCCTCTGTGCTGGCAACTGAAACTGGGTGTGGTGGTGCACACCTGTAATCCCAGCACTGGGGAGGCTGAGACAGGAAGATCACTATGAGTCTGAGCTGCGTAGCAAGACCCTGTACCAGATAAACAAATAAATAAATAAATAACCAGATAATTGTCTGGAGGGGGAAACCAACCAATCAAATGAAAAACTATTCAAGGAGATGCCTGAGTCACACTTGAAAGATTCATGGGAGTTTATGGTGCTCCCAATGGCAGGATGTATACCTTGACCATGTCCTATGCTGAACCCTGAGAGCTTTGAAGTGCATACAACACCCTGCCTCTGTTGTGGGCAGAAAGGCCAAGGACTAAAATTCTGAATGTGCTAGGTGTGGCCAAGCAGTAGAGCCAGACCTGCATCTCTGCAGGCTCAGGCTGATGTTGGACCCCTGGAGAAGGGCCCTGGCCTTGGCTGGGTTGGCCTCACACACCACCCATACCTCATCCTGCCAGCCTCCATGCTGCTAGCGGGTGCAGCATACCTGCGGTGAGGATCTATGTACCCTTTATCCAATTAAAAAGGGGCAGGGGGCCTGGCCCTAGCTCAGTTCTTGGGGGCTGGGAAGATGACTCAGTGGAATAAGCACTTCCCTGGCAAGCACAAGGGCCTGAGTTCAATCCCCGGTTTAGTCAATAAATAAATAAATAAATAAAATTAAAAAATTAAAAAAAGAAAAGAAAAAGGGGCAGAAGGAGCTAATTTTTATTTTACCTCATCACTGGTTCCAGGTGTTGAAATCTCAGGTGCTGAAAATCTCTCTCATTCCCATCTGCGTATGGGTCCCTCTCATGGAGAAGGCCATCTTGGGTTCAATGGGTCACAGCAAGTCTCTGCCCTGTGTCCCACCTTGCTCACACACAACCTTCCAGGGTAAACCAGCAGGTCAAATTGCCTGTTGGGATGCACAGTGACAAGTCTGATTGGTGACCCATCACGTTGTCTGAGCCTGGAGGTCGTGAGGGACAAGAGAAGACAAGGTATGTGGCATGTGCAAGGTGGCGGCCTCCAAGACCCCTGCCTTTGTGGACACCACAGTCCAGTGGAGAAGACATGTTATCAGAAATGACTGGTGTTTCTGCAACAGATAAAGAGCTGATAAATGTTACTAATTTTGAATTTTTGTGACATCCATACATATAAAAATGTTTTCTATATACACAATATAAACACTAATAAGATAAACATTTCTCCTCTAAGTCACCTGAGGAAAAGAATTTACTACTATATTCGAAATCTTTGAGCTCCTTTTCCTTGTTCCCAACAGTAACCAGTGTTGTATCTTGAATTTTGATTAATCTTGCTTTTGCAGGACTGGGGGTATAGTTGCCTGCCTGGCAACATGAGGTACTGGGTTCAATTTCTAGTAGCCTCCCCCCAAATTTTGCCTTTGCTACTTACAATTTTTATTATATACTGTTATATGTGTAACATTTTATGTATGTGTACATATACTAATATACATATATATTCCTAAACAATGCAATAATTGAGTTTGTATGATCTTGACTTTATATCTAACCTAGCTGGGGCTCCTGATTTTAACATGAAAGTTTAATCTTAATAAAATTTAGGAAAAAATTTTAATTAATAATTTTAATTAATACCCAAAATGTATCTTTACATTTCCACTTTACACTGTGAACAACACAGCAAAAAATTGCACTACCATATTTCACTAAAGCATATCTCACTACAGTTTTTAATAATTAAATTGAAGTGACATCAGCCCTTATGTCCTTGACAAAGTTTTCAAGTCAGCCACCAGACCCCACTGTCAATGGAATTAAGTGGAATCAGAAGGTTTAAGAGAATAAATGTCTTCAACTGACCTTTGTGTATACCATTTACAGAGCATTATTGAGCTAGAGGAGCACTTCCCTTAAAACTTTTCTCTTAAAAATGCTTATTGAATGCTCAGAGGAAACCTAAAAAATTATTTGGAAAATGCATATACAGATTTTAAAATGTTGCAGAAGCACATTGAATTTCCTGGCTTTTCCAAATTTATAATCCTCTTGGCTTTAAATGCTGCTATTTAAAAATTGCCTCCTGAAAAGAGGGTTTTCATTTCTAACATGTTCCCCAAATAATCCTTATTGATCCACCATGAATGTTCTGGATGGTCATCAATAAACAACATGGATAATCATTATTTCATCAAATGAGCTTCTTACTGACTTTTTCTATTAAATAAGAAATATTTCTAAATACATACAAATATGTTCAACATTCGTGACCACACGTTTTACTTGTGAATTTACCCAACGAAAAATTCTAGTGAAATATTCCTCAAGTATATATTATAATTAGACTTTATATGTGAAAAAGGATAAAATCTCTCTTACATGTTTGTTTTGATTTTTGAAATAATGACTCCCTGTTTACCCCAGGCTGGGCTTGAACTCATGATCGTCCTGCCTCAGTGCTGAGATTATAGGCCTGCACCACCGTGCCTGGCCCTTTCTCACAATCTTAGTAGTGTTGCTTCAGGGGGAAAAAAATCTAGCCTAAGGCTGTAATCTTGTATCTTGGTTACTCTTTTCTCATTGCTGAAACAAAATGCCAGATGCCCAAAGTTAAAGAAGGGAAGGTTTATTTAGCTTACAGCTTGTAGCTCACATTTTTTTTTTCAGTCCATATTCAGCTGGCTCCAAGGCAAGGCGGCACTGGCACAGGGGCAGTACTTTAAGGTGGCAGAAGGCAGCAAAAGCTGGAGAGTAAGCCTTTTTCCTCCCTTGTACTCTGTGTGGGCTCCCCGCCCCTGCCTGGGCACAGCACCCCCACAGTCTCCTTGCCCTCCTCTTGCACAGCCTCAGGATGCTTACAAAATGAGAGCCCTGGCCCCTGCCGAATCTCTTAGCCAAACTTCTAAACTTCTCAATGTAACCCAATGAACACATCCAAGAGCAGTAAGGCCGTGTCCTCTCCACCCTGGGAGAGAGAACTTCTGAATTAGCTAAGCTGCTAGACCTGGCAAGGTGACTCCATGTATCAACCGTAACACACGGGCATGGGGCAAATTCTGGGCACACATATTTATTTCAGCATTACAGGTGCTTTTTCTTTTCATTGTGAGTTCACAATCAAAAGTTAGAGAAAGGTGGTTTACAATGATCTGAGATTTTAAAAATTTAATTAAACAATGACAGAAGAATATTCAAGTAAAATAAGCACAGTCACGTGTGGTATACTGGCAGATCCACTCTGGGAGGCATACCCTTAGGGCTGTTAGCCACTGAACACCATAGAGTACATTCATAAAGGTTAAGAAGGCTGTGACATCTCTAGGTGATACAGTCCTAGGGAAAACCACTGTTGTACAGTGTCTAGAGTCTTTACCAGACTGTTGTTTTTGGCACTGACATGAAAATAACATTTTATTCTCCTGGTGAATTACTATGTCTGTGACCCAAAGTTCTATTCCTTGCAGGTAACCCCCTAAATATTAAAGTCTATTCTTTCACTACTGTTTTTTTTTTTTTCATCTTAATTTCTACTCCTGCTTTCCAAAATAGAACTCAGCTCCCAGGCACCCAGTGGGAGAATCAGAGGGATGCCAGTCCCAGTATTTCCCAAAATATGTGTAGTCTGCTTGCTGTATACCTGCCTGCTGGTAAGTAGTGAGCAAATCAAATGAAGCTTTTTTTTTTTTTTTTTTTTGGTATTTAGTACAGGGTCTCACTACACAGATCAGGCTCATAGTGATCCTCCTGTTTTTAGCCTCCCGTGCTGGGATTACAGGCACGTGCCACCACCACTGGTCTCAATCGCCATCTCAGTGCACCATCTCGGTGCGCCCCACTTGGCACACCCTGCATGCCACACCTCGCATGCCACGCCCCTCATGCCACGCCCCGCATGCCACACCCCACATGCCACACCCCGCATGGCACGCCAGGAATCGAACACTGGCTGCTGCGCTCTGCTTACACAGGCACTGTAGTCCACTCAGCTATCTGGCCGGACCTTCAAACGGAGCTTTTGATTCTGATATCTTCTGAGAGGCTGGACTACAAGCATGGGGTCCACTTAAAGAAGTCAGGTTTTGTTTAATACTTTCTCCTTTCATTCCTGTGCTTCAATTACTTTCTTGTAAACTCTGCTTGTTACCTAAATGTACTAGCATTTTTGTTATCTAATTAACTTTCTTATCAGAATTCCAATGGAAAATAACAAGAAATATAACAACGATATGGTCTCCTGCCCCCTCCAAACAGATTTTCTTTCATGCTTTATCTCCTGGTAGTGTTCTGGCTTGTTTAATTAAAATATCAGAAATTATTAGACTCAAATTATTTCTTGATCTAGTGCTCAAATTGTCCTGAAAAAAAATTGCTTCTCTGTCTCAATTCTTAAACGTTTATCAGTGTGAAGCAGATGAGTATGCAACTGGATTCTTGTAATTCAATATAACTTTGGAGGAAGAGCCTAATTTATTCTCTAAGTAATTAAACAAACAAATCAGATTTGGCCACTTTAATTTCCAAATACAGGTCTCTCCTGTACTTCTGCATCATCAAAATGAACATTTATGTGCAAAAAACCCTCAGAAATTTCAGCGTGAAGATGTGAAATTCAAAGCACCCATCTCACTTATTTTCTCATTAGAGGAATGTGAATAAAACATCACCAAGTCCAAACTATTAATGCAAGTTGTATTCAAGAAAGGTGATCATGTCTGATGCAGACTTTACAATAACTGCTGATAACATAGCCTTACAGCCCAATTTTGAGAAGGAGAAAACAGTAAAACACAGTGGCTTTTTTTTGTGGCCATATTCTATGACAAAACTTCAGGTGGGGATCTGCCTGCTGCTGGTGGAGCTGTGTGAGAGATTCGCTTTCTTTGAAGTCGTCTGCAACATGATTCCCTTTTGCACTGTGAAGCTTGGCTATAGGAATTACCAAGCAGCCATTGTGAATCTGTGCTTTATCGGAACTTCAGTCCTTGCCCCTGTGTTTGTGGGACAGCTTGCTGACGGCTGCCTAGGAAGAAACAAGCTGGTGTGCGTTGGCTTATTTCTGCACTTCCTTGGTGAGTTGCCCCTAACTAGATTGTTTTGTAGTTTGGTTGAATAGATTTCTGTTAGAATGTTTAGTTTAAGTTATCCCCATTCCTATTCTTAGCATAAAGTGGTATAAATAAAGTAAGAATATTATTTCATTCCATATATTATCCAGGATGCTAAAATGTGTTTGCACGTGTGTGTGTGTTGGAGGCTGCTCCCCTATCTACAGCATTGCATGCATGATATTTTGCAGCAATTATTTCTTGTTGCCTACCTTGTAGACTCCTTAGAATGCTCTTGTTTTTTTCTCCAAACCAACTTTATGACAAATTCTATGTGAAACATGAAATTCACCTGCTTCGCAATGAAGAGAGTTTTCTTCTTTTGGATTGTTAAGGTTCATGTAGAATAGGAATTTTTTTTTTTATTAAAATGTGATCTTTTAATTACTCACATAGCAATTAAGGTACCATATGAAAACATGACTTCTATATTTTTAGACTATGATTGCATGTTTGTTTTTAAATTAGTGAACTGAGACTCTATACTACTTTTTACACAGAAAAAAATAAATGTATCTGAAAAGTTCAGGAGTAAAATGATTAAAAGAAATGTTGAAGAAAAAATCAAGATAATTTGATACAGTACAGAGAGGAAGTTGTTGCATTAGTAATCTACAAATTTCAGCTGAAATATTGAAGTTATCCATCAGCAATAAGAAGCCACTGAACATGCATGGCGAGATAAAATCCATGAGATGGTTTTGTCTACAGATAGAATGAAAAACCACTGTGAGAGGCTAAATAGAAACTAGAAAAGCCTTCTCTAAGCAGTAGAGAAGTACCAATTTAGGAGAGAACATGCAAAAATGTGAAAGCTTGGCACCTGAATAAAATTGTAAATGCAATAGAAGAGCCAAAGTTACCTCCAGGGTTTGGCACAGACAATCTTGGGAAGGTGGTCTGCTGTTCACCATTGGTGAGAAATGAAAGTGCATGCTGGCTGGGAGGTGGGTGAGGAGGAGGTGGGCAGATATGCAGTGCTCTGCGCCGCAAGAGATTTCAGCAAGTTGTAAATTAGGAAATTGGTAAGGCTGGGCTTCTAAATTTCACCACTTACGTTTATAAAATTAAAACTAAACTGCTGACCTGGGTGTGGAGGTGCATTCCTGTCATCCCAGCAGTCAGGAGTCTGAAGCAGAAGGATCGCTGAGGGTTCAAGGCCAGCCTGAACTACATAGTGAGACTGAAGGAAAAAAAAAAAAAAAAAAA